ATGTTGTGGTCACCGGTAGACGAGCCGATAAAGTGTCAGAAGTGGCCAAAGAGTGTCTCAAAGTATCGCCGAAACAGTCGAAAGCACTGGAAGTGGTGGCGGATGTGACTAAACCGGAAGACTTGCGACGACTTGTGGACACAACTGTCAAACACTTCGGGAAACTCGATGTTTTGGTGAACAACGCCGGCGCTGGTGTTGGCGGTAAAATTGAAGACAAAGATTTTTACGATAAATTTCAAAAAGCAATGCAAATAAACCTCAATTCTGTGGTCTATTTAACGCATATATGTGTCGAGCATTTGGAGAAAACTAAGGGAAATATAGTCAACATCTCGAGTGTCGCCGGTTTGAGAGCTGTAAGTCGAGTGCAAAAAAGTTCAAAATTCAAAATAATTTCTAAAACAATGAATTCATTAACAGGTGTAGGGTTTTAGTCCCTATAGTGTGGCGAAGTGTGCTCTGGATATGTTCACCAAATGTATGGCCGCGGAGTTGGGACCCAAACGTATCCGCGTTAATGTCATCAAGTAATTCATAATTAAATTAAAAATTTACACAAAAATTACAAATTATTTACAAATTATAGCCCTGGTCCAATTCGTACTGAGTTTCTCACAGCCATGGGCTCATCACAGGCCGAATCGGATAAAGTGTTTGACGCCTACGCTGTGGTGCCGGTGGGTCGGGCCGGTCTGTCCGATGATGTGGCCGATTCCATACTATACTTGGCCAGTGACCATGCTGCTTTTATCACCGGCACTAATCTTATTTCAGATGGTGGTGCCGTTGCTGCCAATGCTCTCAATTCAGATATACTTAAAAATTTGGTGTAAAATATGTTTACGACTCATGACATCATATGTTTTGTATTTTAATAAAGATATTTTTTATTACTTGCTTATTAGTAAAATTATTATCAGTATTAATTAAATTAACCATTTGATGCTAATAAATAAATTCATTAAAAAATTATGGCCTTAGCAAATAATTTATTTTTATTATACATTTTCATATATTCAGAAAATGTGAATTTAATATTTATTTTAAATGAAATCTATAATTTAATAAGTTTGTTGTATTTTTTGCCCTTTTATATATATCTGACATACAATTTTAGTGGTCAATTTAGTCCTCATTACTAACTCGGGGTTGGTTTAAACATTATTTTAATTAGCTAGTAATTTAGTTTGTTTTAATAATTTATTATTTGGTATCATTTTTTACATTAACTCTGAACAATCTAGAAGTTGAGTGTATTTCTACGCATTTGATTGAAAACTGATGTCTAATAAGTTTAGTCATATCGACAACAGACAAACCAAACCATAGTCCAGTAGACTCGCGACGTAACAGGATTTCAATGAAATTATATTTAGCCGTATGTTTCACTACCATCTCATCACTGATCGGTGTATTGATAATCACTTTCGCCGTATTGTCCCTCAATTCCCGCAAATATGTATCATTTGTTTCGCGACTTCTCTTATGGGAGTATCGGATTTGATAGTGATATTCATTTGTCACGCATTCAGTGGACAGACACCTCTTATAACACAAACCCTCGATCTCTGAGCTCATTTTATGCATACATTTCCTACTCTTAAGCCAACAGTTATTATTCAATCAGTCAAAACAATTTCAGTGGCCAATTGGTAATGTATTGCACACTTAACATTTTGTACCCAGGTTCTAATCCACTTTCAGTTCAATTATTTTTTGTTTTATTTTTTGCTAAATTTGGATAAATTTAATGTTATTTTTATTTAACTTTATGTAGTATATAATTATTATTAGAAAATATAAAATTAAAGTATACAAATATAATAACCAAGGTAATTTCTATTATTGGTTTGTTGGATTTGTAGTATATTTTTATATTACAGCTTGAATATAATTTCAGAAAATTTTTAATTTAATTATATTTTTATAAAATTTTACGAATATTTTCAATATTTCGATAATGCAATTAAAAATATTTTCTTTTATTTAAACATGTTTTAATAAAATTGAGTTATAAATTAATAATTTATTTAATTATATGAATCTTATTACACAGGGTGGCCAAAATATGGCTATACTACTTTAATTTCAATTTATTTCAATACCGTCTTGTTTGTTTTATCGATTTATTCATTAAATTGTAGCTGGATAGTTAGGGTTTTGTTTGATATATGATTTGCCCATGCCGGTATTAACCAAAATTTTATACAAGAAATATTATCTTAAGCATGCAAAATGTTTATGCAAATCATACCAATATGTTCACAAGTTGAGATATATTATAAACTGTAATTCAATGTTTTAATAGAAATATTTACGAAACTGTAATTTTATAAGTTATTTTATTCTCTATAAATGAATATTAATTCAAAATGAAATAGTTTTATTGAAAATAGTGAATTACAGTCTGTAATGTATCTCAACTTGTGAACATATAAGTATGAATTGCATAAAAATTTTGCATGTTTAAGATTATATTTTTTGTATAAAATTTTGGTTTATACCGACATGGACAAATCATATACAAAACAAAACCCTAACTATCCAGCTACAATTTAGTGAATAAATCGATAAAATAAACAAGACTGTATTGAAATAAATTGAAATCAAAGTAGTATAGCCATATTTTGGCCGCCCTGCACATACTGTATGATAATTATATGAAGTTTTTATACAGACTGTAATAAGATTCATATAATTAAATAAATTATTAATTTATAACTCAATTTTATTAAAACATGTTTAAA